CGGGGCCTACAATTGGCATCAGGCTTCACATCCGGACCAGATAGCTTTCTCGGAGGGAGCCTTACCTCCTCAACAACAGGTCATGCTTCCTGAAAAGGTTCCGAGGGTAGAGGACTGCCACATGTGTCAGAAAGCATTGCCACACGCCCACTCGGACACGATAGCTCAGGATAAAAACGTTCCTGCAAGCTCTGATTCGAGGCCGATTTATTCGAGTGTTCACTTTGACGGTCGAGGACGGCCGATGATCAGGCCCTTGGTGCCAATGGCAGAAAACAATGTGGAGCAACTGGCTGGTGGGTCTCAGTCAAGAATCATGGGGATCGCTGAGAACCCCGAGTTTGGAAATCTTCGAACAGAGGGAATAACGGAGGTTCTGCAGAATGTTGGGGCCCCGTATGTAAACGATAAAGCCGTCCCCCAGAAGAGTGAAAATTTAGAACCTTCTAAGACGACACTTCAGCAGGGTTTTGTGATGAGTGGTGGGGTCCAATATCCTTATGGCATGTTTTTGGATAATGCACCCCAGTCTTGCCAGTCCAATGCTGTACAAAATCTAATTGTTCAGCCTCAAACCCAAGTAAATAATGGTTTTTCCCCTATTGGGATTCCGTTACAGATTAATGATTATGTTCTTCACGAATCCCCTAGAGCCTATCCAGACAAAGTTTCTGGTGGAGTTCCAATGGACGAACCTTCCTCATCGGCGCTGGAGCACCTAAGACAAATTGATGAAAGGTTGGAAGATCTCCAAATACGGCCTTCTGAAGTGTTATCAAATAATGAGCGTAACAAGGTAGCTGGAGATCCTCGCAAGGAAGACACACATAATATTACATCTGCTGAACTCTGTGAAATGGCAAAGCCTCCTCCTGTAGGTAGTCCTGACATATATCCTTATTCATCCCAAGGGATAAGTCATTTGCACCCGAGTGATACTTCTGGAAATACTGTGTATTCTGGTATAGAGCGGCCTCATGCAGCAGAAATAATCTCACCTGCTAGTGAATGGAAGGACAGCAATGTTGCATGGCCTCAGTCTAAAATGGTTGGTTTTGAGGATATCACTGATAACTCGACATCGCTATTTAGCAACCAGGATCCTTGGAGTATGAGGCCTGATACTCATTTCCCCCCTCCCAAACCTGAAAAAATTCAAATACGGAAGGACACAGGCCAAAGAGAGGACAATCTTCTCTTGAATACTGGTGAAACACAAAGAATTTTGTCCTTAAAAAGTCCACTGGCGGATGGAGGATACCAGCAGTCTAGCAATGGAGAGCTTTGTCGGGAACATAGTTTGTCTAATAAAGGTCTGAATATCTATTGTTTTAGGGATATTTGTGTTTTTGTACCTTTTTTTAGTTGTTTTTTTGCTCATGTATGTCTTGTCAACTCGTAAAGGTTCTGCAGAGGAACTAATAAAACAAGAACTTCAAGCAGTTGCTGAGGGTGTAGCTGCCACTGTTCTTCATTCATCCATCCCTTCAAATCCCGATCTATCTCCACCTATAACCCAGCAAAATGGTGGTGTTCAACCTACTAATGTAGAAATACAGCACAAAGACAAACTTGAAGTTAGTGATCCCTCCTTCATTCTCTTCACATAGTTTCTTTTGCATGTGAAGTTTGAAAAATTTTATGAGTTTCTGCAGTTCAGTATTTGATGGACTAACCTTCGGATCATTATTTTTTCCAGGAAATCAAGACTAAATTGCCGGACAAGATAAATTTTGGGTTTCCTGCATCTGGCATGGGCCGGCTACAGGTTTTCTCTTCTCAACAAAAATAATTGAATTCTGTCCTAGTTTAAACAACACTTTCAACTACTGCTCTCTCTCTCTCTCTCTCTCTCACTCTAATTTTTGTTGCTCAAATAGATTATTAGAAACAGTGATTTGGAAGAGCTGCGGGAATTGGGTTCTGGTACTTTTGGTACTGTCTATCATGGAAAGTGGAGGGGCACCGATATTGCCATAAAACGCATCAATGACAGATGCTTTGCTGGGAAGCCTTCCGAGCAAGACCGCATGGTGAGTTCATTTGCTAGTCATATTGATTATCTTGTTTATCATTTTAGCCCAAGGTTGATCTTTTTTATATATTTATATAGAGAGATGATTTCTGGAATGAGGCAATCAAACTAGCTGACTTGCACCATCCAAATGTGGTTGCTTTTTATGGGGTTGTTCTAGATGGTCCCGATGGTTCAATTGCCACTGTTACTGAATACATGGTGAACGGTTCTTTGAGAAATGCTTTACAGAAGAGTGAGAGGTAGTTCATTTGAACTCTATCCTGTAATTATGAAGTTTCAAATCTGATTGTGTGTGTTGTTTATTGACGATTTCAATTTTAAATCCTTTTATAATGAGGTATTAAACTAATCACATCTCATTTCAATGTGTTTAGTAATAGGTCATCTTCTCTATGTTCCAAAATTGCGTATAATACTTGCTACATGAAGTAGAACTCGTACTTGACCAATTTATGCATTTAAACTACTCTTTCCAGGAATCTTGATAAGCGGAAGCGCCTTTTGATTGGAATGGATATCGCCTTTGGAATGGAATACTTGCATGGAAAGAATATAGTTCATTTCGACTTAAAAAGTGACAATCTGTTGGTCAATCTCCGTGATCCACATCGACCAATATGCAAGGTTAGTGATCAAATGTTGTATGCAGCTTCTTTTAGTGTAATGTCTCTTTGATGTATGTTGCCAAGGTTATCTACTTTTTTTTTGGTTAGGTATATTGTGCTTGATTTTGATTTGAAGTGTATGAAATCTGGTCCATTGTTCTTTAATGGGCGTTGATGTTGTAGTTAAGTATTCCCATGCAGTAATATAAAATCCAAATACCTGATGAATACATGTGTACTGTTTTTGTGGTTATTGCTGATTTCTTGTTATGGTTTACCATGGTATGGGATTGTTCGGTCTCGTAAATGGTGGTCTTTAACGGTCATTCTTGACCTTAAATGTGTGGAATTGAGGTTTTCATTTCTCTTATAATGTTCTGCTATGCTATCCTGAAACTATATGTTGAGGTAAGAAACGTGTGCAAAATTAGGGTGTGTTTGTAAAAGGACAAATTCAATCAAATTAACTCAAAGTGTTTTTTTTTTAGTTAACTATGGTTAATTTAAAAATAAAGTAGTATAGTTAGTTGTTAGTGGGATTTTGAGAGTATATTAAAATAATATTTAAAATAAAATAATTAAAGTTGATTTGATGTAAAAGTAGGAAAGAGATGATATGAAGTGATGGTTAGTTAAAATTATGTGAGTAGATGAATAGTGAATTAAAGTTGATATGATGTTTAAAAATGATTGGTTGTTATTATTTAATTATATTGGTAACATTGAGGATAGCGGGGTTGAGTTAAATTTGAGTTAGATTTTGAGTTTGAATTAATTTGGTTTTGAGTAAATTCTTTTGCAAACACTTCAAATTTTGTTCTTTTCCCCAGTAGTTTCTGAGAGCTGATAAATATAGTGATGATATAAGCAGAGAACAATTGGGAGAAATTACACATATTACTAGAAAACATGGTTAGTATATGTGGTGCTTGCGGCTTATCTGCCTTAGTTTCCGAGTACTCAAACTCAAGACAATTGGCCTTGGTCCATATGAATTGAGGCCTAATGTGATTATGCCAATAACTTCC